GTTTCCGGAGGCTAGGCAACCCGCGTGGTGTCGTGCTGTACGTTTGTGTGTGTGGGCGGTTGGCGTATGGGGAGGAAAGAGAGAGAGGGATAGAGAGAGGGGGGGAGTAGAACGGACCGACGGGGTTGGGGAGGGGGGTTGCCGCCCTGATCCCGGTGTCAGCAGCGATGCGCGCGGGGCTAGAGGGGGATTGGGAATGATAGAGCCATCTCGCTCGGCAGTGCCACCACCACCACCACCACCGGCCCGCTTCAATCCCCATTGGGGTTACACCGGAAGTTGCCGCCAATTATTGAAAAACCAGTTTTTAAAAATTGGGCGCGCTCCTCGTTCATTTCGTCCGTGTTTTATTTTCGGCGCGTGTTGTATGGAACTCGTGTGCTCATATACGGCGAAGCTGCTGCTGACGAACTTTCGCGTCGCGTCAATGCGCTTTGCACCCAATTAATTCGCGGAGATTAAACGCCGCGGAGCGCGATGCCACGCGCGCGGTCGGCGGCGGTCGGGGAAAAGTCTCCCTCTCTCTACATTTTTGGTTCTTTATCGGTCGGTTAGGAATTCAAAGTGAGCCCGCCATGAATCACCGGAGCATTGACAGTGATGGGTGGCGGGCCCGGGCGGGCCGTCAGTGGCGGATGTGAGGGGCGCGGGGCGGGGCGTGGCGGGGCGGGGGTGGGCAGAGGGGAAAAGGATTGATAACACAAAGAAGAAGAGGCGGCGCCATCGAGGAGAACAATTATATGTGGGATAATGCGCTTTTGCGAGTGAGCAGAGAAAAGGACTCTTCTCTGCTACAAGAAAAAATGAAATAAAAATAATAATACGTCATTAGCGACTCATCCGTGTGGTTAAATTTGTGTGGCAGGGTCGGAGGAGAGTGTGCTTCTGAGTCTCCAGTTGCGTCTGAGTTCATGAGAAAGTGTGCGTGAATGCCTTTTAACGTCGGTGCCTTTCCCTCTTTTTTGGTTGCAGGTGAGATGCGTTCGGCCGTGTTGTACGGAGGAGACCTGATGGCGGCGGCGGCCTCGGCCGGTACCCGCTCTGTAAGTAAATTTCGAGAGGGGAAAAGAGAGGAGTTGTGGAGGAAGGGGGTGGGGGGCGGTGCGGGCCGCGTGAAGTGTGTAGGAGGAGAAAGCAGCAGCAGCAGCAGCGGCGATGGGCGGCCTGGCCCTGGGAAAGAGAAAGAAAAAGGTTAAAAGGGTCGGCGGGGTCGACCCGACCGATTTGGCGCGCGTTTTGTGCGATCAACGTGTTTGGCCGCGGGGTGCGGGGGCGGGACGGGCCGGGGGCGTCGGGCTACGGCCGGGGGCCGCGCTATCCGGTCGCGGTGCACACGTGTGCGATCTGCTGCCGCCGTGGGCCGCGACCGACGGGCATAAAACGTACGTCCGCGTGTTTGTAAGTGTCATGACGCGACGCCGGGATGCTAAACGAGAGTAGGTCAGCGCTGTCTCTCTCTCTCTCTCTCTCTCTCTCCCTCTCTCTCTCTCTCTCTCTCTCTCTCTCTCTCTCCCTCTCTCTCTCTCTCTCTCTCTCTCTCTCTCTGTCTCTGCCCTCTCTCTCGTGAATGATTGTCATTTTGTGTTGTCTCATTCACATCGGCCCGGAGAGAACGTCGCTCCGCCGCCAGGGTCCATGTCATTTGTATGCGCGATGCGGCGAGTGTTTGCGCCTGCGTCGTGTCGCTCGCCGCGAAAACGCAATTTGAGATTATCCCCCCCAATTTTGCTTGCAAGCAACAAACGGATTGTGCGGCGTCTTCCTCCGTCTGCCTCACCACCTACCT